GTTCACACACACACAGGGGGTTCACACACACACAGGGGTTCACACACACACACACAGGGGGTTCACACACACACAGGGGGTTCACACACACACACAGGGGGTTCACACACACACACAGGGGGTTCACACACACACACAGGGGGTTCACACACACACAGGGGGTTCACACACACACAGGGGGTTCACACACACACACAAGGGGTTCACACACACACACAGGGGGTTCACACACACACAGGGGGTTCACACATACACAGGGTGTGTTCGTCTGTTCCTCTACCCTCCCAGCTCGCTCTCCTGACTTCCGCTGCCTGACGCCGCTGCCAAACGCTTTTCTGGTACCAGATTTAGAGAGCGGCGAGGTAATGGACTTCTTAATGGTTCTGTTACTGGGTTATCATTATAATCATCCTGTCATTAATATATCGCTACGGATGAAAATGGAGCTGAAGAGAGTCGCATGGGTCAAAGTGTCATGTATGAACGCTGTCTTCGGCGTGTTGCTTGTGCTGCTGCTTGGAGGCGATGAGTGTGAGCATGCAGATGATGAAGATGGTGGTAATTCTGCTGCTGCTGCTTCTGGTTATGATGAAGATTCCACTGCTAGTGCTGCTGATGATGTTGATGCTGCTGATTGCGGTAATAATGCTGCTGCTGCTTCTTTTAATGTTGCCGCTGATGATTGAAGAATGTTCTACGAGGACATGGTGATTATTAAGCTGCTGCCGATGATGATGAAAAGGCGTTTTATTCGACCATTATCTCTTGTTATTACAGTTAGCGGTAAAGCGTGTTAATGTCAAGTCGAAGCCATGCATCACACATTGTGAAATGTGAATTATCTGTGGGTCCCGTTTGACATAACTGACCGGTCACTGCAGTAAAATTGCACGTCACATAATGACATTTAAAATGACTGCGTTTGATCAGTGAAACGCAGTCAGGACAGTGGTGAGGTAATTACAGTTCCTGTGCTGGTTGTGCCGGTGTACCGACAGAGACGGATCACATTCATGTGGCAGGAGAATGTGTTGAGGTTTTGTGTTTTGTTTTGTTTGAGGAGCGTTTCTCGCCTGGCACCAGTCACGGCGTGCGGACGTCAGTTCAGTGCGTTTCATGGTTCGGAATGCCAGGCCCGAACCACCTCCGCGTTTAGTCGTTCATTGACGAGAGAACGCATTTGTATATTTGTTAATTTCCACAAAAAAACAACCGAGTCTTTTCGACGAGATGACCGACACCGGGTGAAGCGGTGGCACCGTGGGTAGCCGGCTGAGCGGTGGACCTGGCGGTCCCGAGTTCGATCCCTGGCTATGACGAACATTCACGGCAAGTGATGTATGAGTAGGTCCTGGTAATCACATAGAATTAGAATATGTATTGATATTGGATGAATCCGATGAGCTATGAAGCTCTTTTTCACAGATGTCCAGTAGGGACACGGGGTAAGAATGTTACAACAACAAACAGCACAACAACACGATAGGAGTACAAAGTACAATGAAGGTAACCAAATCACGCAAACGCATACAAATTAAAATAAACCATCCCCATCCTACCAGGCAAAGCCCACTGAGGAATTACATTATCTTTCAGAAGTGACCTGGCCACAAATGATATCTCAACAAAGTGTCTTATCATTGCATCAGTCTGGTGAAGTATGGTCAAACAACCCCTGTGACTGGCATAGCATGGGAGGCATTGATCCAGATTGACAGCTGCTTGTAAGTTGTTATTGTAGCTACTGCATCTTAGCGGATGGTCCTCTTGGCAGAGTTCTCAACTCAAAATCATGAAGTTGTAAGTTTAATTCCTGGTTGGGGGTTGACCCAACCCATCACACCTCCCGGTTTGACAGAATCACCGCCATATTGTGCTAAATAAGTCGTGCTATTGTCCAACGGACAGACTGGATACCCGCTCCTGGAAAAGTCGAATTTTTTGACCACTGACCAGAACTGCCAATGGCTATGTGTGCTTCTGCAGTGCTCGTTGGAGCAGGGCGTCAGTGGGTTTGAAGTGTGTGGTGAAGCGACGACATTCCTCCAGGAGAGTTATTCAGGAGTGCCTTGAGATGTCGCCGGGTCGTCTTACCGGTGCTTCTATCACTTGGAACTGACGATCCGTCAGTTTCACCTAATACATCAGTTGGGTCGAAGTAGGGTATCATTTTTAAGACCATGAAGCCATCTCAAACACCCCTTTGCTCTGGCACTGTGAGACGTACTGCATTGGAGGCGAGGTATACGTAATGATAATAATGATCTACACTATGGGAACCTCATTTGCCAGTAAAAATATGATAATTGGTTATCTGGTCCAACTCATGTGAGACTAGGCTCTAAGGAAAGCTGTCTCGGGTGTGGACCAATCAATTTCAAGGACAGTGCACATTATCAGAGTTATGTCTTTTGTTTGTATTATGACTGCAGGTATTGCGGTCTATGCAAACATGACTCCTTGTAAAAAGGTGTCAGTTTTGTTGCCAGATAGAAGGGTAAAAACAATTATGATAATAATAATGATGATAATGATGACTACGTCAGTGTAAAATGAGGAACACAATCGCCATTGAGGGTCGTATCCAATTGGCCGGAGCTCGGCGGCACTAAGCGGCTAAACAATGGCATTGCCAAACACTGCAGATGCGTTTGCAGACGAATGCTGCTTGCTAGCGTTTCGAGCGGCACTGCCGAACGCAGACTACTACGGCTCTTGTATGTTTACGGTACGAATGTTGAGCCGTCTCTTGTTGCTGGGTTGGCCTGCACCGTACAATCTCCCTGTCGCCCGCCATCTGGCCACGTGGCAGAGAGACTGAACATCCATCAGAGGGCTGCGCGCTAAGATTATGATAGTGGAATGACTCGGCCCACACATCCCTCCTGGTTCAGTGAAATGAGTCGGACAATTTGGGACGTTAATTGTGATGGTCTAGAAGAGAAACTGGATCCCGGCCATGGGAACGTGAAATGTCCAGCACTGGGTCAGCGACACCAATGCAGATGAACCTGGCCCCAATGTGCAGTTGAGCAGGGAGGTTCTGACCTTTGTAAGAGGGCGTCTCTTGGTGAGAGAGTTCAACACAATACCTTGATACACTAAATGCACAGAAAGTCTATCGGGTCAATTGGAAGAACGCTCTGCGTTTGATATGGGGCACGTCCTTATTTTGAGCGTAGAATTGTTTCCATTTGGCAGCCTTTAAAACGGCAATTGCAGATTTTAAGCAAACGTTTGAATTTATTTCATTATTTAGAATGTTATGAAGGCAGGAATAACAGTAGCGAAATGAGAACTCTCGATCAAGCTGCGACATCAGCAGAGCAATCTCTCAAAGGCCGAAGACAATGATGAACAGTTATTAAAGCTCATCTGTCACTGAGGATAGATGTACATCGCAATCACCGTTTAGCGCATTCCAATATCACCGACGCCGCTGGTCAGGACTGAATGTGCAGATGCACGCAACCGCAGCGCAGAAAAAGCACCTGGCAGGCATTTTTGTATTTCCGGCTCTAAGAAATTGCAGGGGCACTTTACGCGACCATTAACATTGAGATGAGCGAAATCAATACCGTCGCATGTCCCCCCGCCATTGGCAACACGTTTCATGGCCATCCACCGCTCACAAAGGGTTGCTGACACTACAAATGCTGCCTTTCAAAGCTCGCGGGCCGTCTTGTTCTTGCTGGGGACATCCTTAGTGATGTCACTCTTAATGCTGAGGCAGCAGCAGCAGCAGGAGCAACATATATATAATTATATATATAGAGGAAAAAACAATGCCAAACCTCTCAAAGTGATTGCGTGGTGTTCTCTTGAAGCCACCTTGTGAGCCCCGCTCGGAGCGCTGACGCCGCGTCTGCAGAGCGGCGCAACTCAAAGTGGCCGCCGCGTTCGTCTCTTGCCACGAGTTCTGTCGCAATCCGGCGCTCTGCTGCTGCTGCTGGTGGTGCTGGTGGTGCTGCTGCTGCTGGTGCTGCTGCTGCTGCTGGTGCTGCTGCTGCTGCTGCTGGTGCTGGTGCTGCTGCTGCTGGTGCTGCTGCTGGTGCTGCTGCTGCTGCTGGTGCTGCTGCTGCTGCTGCTGGTGCTGCTGCTGCTGCTGGTGCTGCTGCTGCTGCTGGTGCTGCTGCTGCTGGTGCTGCTGCTGGTGCTGCTGCTGGTGCTGCTGCTGCTGCTGCTGCTGGTGCTGCTGCTGGTGCTGCTGCTGCTGGTGCTGCTGCTGCTGTGCTGCTGCTGGTGCTGCTGCTGCTGGTGCTGCTGCTGGTGCTGCTGCTGCTGGTGCTGCTGCTGCTGCTGCTGGTGGTGCTGCTGGTGGTGCTGCTGCTGCTGCTGGTGGTGCTGCTGCTGCTGCTGCTGCTGGTGGTGCTGCTGGTGCTGGTGGTGGGGGGTGATGGATCACGCAGACACGACGCTGCGCGTGAGATTCCCACATTGCAGGGCTAACGTATAAGGCTGCTATGTAAAATCAATCAATTAATTGGCAGCAATGCGTTCATGCATTGCTGCCAATGTCGCTGTCTGCTGGCCACGAGAGAGTCTCAGGACAGAGTTTGTGCAGTTTTGCTGCTGACTCATCCTCCATCGAAGAATCGCAGACTACAATAGGTTCACTCTATGGCCCACGGTTTGGGCTGCACGGCCACAGTCAGACGACTGTGGCCGTGTCTTTAATTCATGAGACGTCTTGGAAGAGGTGGGAGTGCCGAAACGTCCCCCACCACACGTGACCTGCCGGTCGACAAACGGCGGCAACCCAGGGATACAGCACTCCGCTTGCCAGGCAGAGGACGGGATGATTTACCCGGAGCGATTTAAGAAACTTGCACCGGAGTTTAAAACTGCCACGCCTGGAGATCGAATCGAAGTGGTAACCTCCAGAATTGCGAGCGCAGTGCGGCGCTAATCATCACAGGCCACGGGCCACACCCCACTCGTCTATGCGTAGCGCCAAACAAAAAGAATGCCATTAACAGTGCCGTGCCGTGTCGTTGCAGATACCTCCACAACATCACGTGGAAAGGCCGGGACCTATCCTTCAACAGCGACGGCTACCTGGAGAAGCCTTCCATGACGGTCATGGTGCTCAACAACGGCCGCATGTGGGAAAAGGTAGCGACTGCACGGGGCCAGCGTGCCACCCGGGAACATTTCTCGATTTCACTTCGTTTACCTTTTAAAGTAATTTTGCGATAGATTGCCTGCGCCATCTGTGTTGTGGCTTTCTGCTGGAGAGTCCCGGCTTTGGTGCCAGCGTTTTCAGTGTCCCAGGGCTGACAGATGGCTATTCAATGCTTTGGCTTCTCTGAAGCACATGTTTACCAACTTAACCTTGCCCACGCAACGATCTGTTTCTGATATTGTGTGTGTGGCAGAGAGAGAGATGAGGTAAATACGTTTTGGGAAGATAATGCTGTGAAATAAAAGGAAAAAACGGATTCCAAAGTTAAGCCGATTTTGATTATACTGAGGGCTTGGCCTGTGTGCTGTGTGGATTGTATTTTCTTGCAATTTCTGTATAGCTCAGTAGGGGTTACCTGGTCAAATAAACGTCGTTTAGTTTCTCATATGACTGTTCATGTTAGTCAATCATGGTTGATGTGTGTTAGTGGCCATTAATCATGTTGTACGAGGATGCACGCTAGAGAGATGCTCATTTGAAGCTGTGGGAACTGCCTACTCCATTTTGCGAGCCATCATTCAGCCAGAGCTCCCATGGAGGAGCGAAGCACAAAGCACAGACATACTCTTTGGCTCTTTCGGTAAAGTCACGTAAGTCACGTACGTGACTTTACCGAAAGAACCAAAGAGTATGGATTCCTGCAGTCACGAACGCTTAAATCAAGATCACAAAACACAGGTCGTCCACTCACTGCTGCGCTCATTCACCGCGCTCTTGGGCCACGCGGCTGCTGCAGTCCGGTGGCTGCTTGGCTCCCGGAGTGCAATCGCCGATAAGGTCCTGGCAGTCGGGACTTTACCGAAGCAATTAGAAGAGAAGCTTCTGGCCTTTGGACACAGGTAGCACGGCGGATGCTCAGCATTTCGCTGCATTTCGCTGCAGGACAGTGTAAGCGACGTTGTGGGAGTTATAAATGAAACGTGGCCGGAAAGTGTCTTGTATTTAAATCAGGAAGATGAGGGTCATGTGATTTGTGGGTCACATGTTCAGGATGGAGGAGGTCGGGTCAAAGAAACGGGCGTGGGAGTGGCACCCATCGGTCGTCAGCCAAAGGGAAGACCAAAAGCCAGATGGTGGTGTTGGTGATATCACACCTTGGCGGGCAGGTGTCAACTGTACTGTAGCATTGGGATCTAGCAGGAGAGAGGAACGACGGCGAGGTGTGGTGGCGTCAGCAACTCTGTCCGTGATGACCTCTCGATCTCAAACATCCTCGTGGCACTGGTTAACAGTTCCTCTGGCAGCCTCGTCTCGAATAGCTTGTCCCGTGCACAGCAGGGTTGGCCAATAACATTGTGCATTCTCCTTGAGATAATGTGCTCTCAGTTGAAAAAACAGCAGGAAACTGAAACTTTCGACCTCTAGGTTATCGTGCTGTCTGCGGGCTAATGGCGAGCCCTTGTTCCGTTTTCTCACAGCAGACAGCAGAAAAGAGCATGGTAATGGAAATGTAATCGAATATGAGAAGTGGGAACGTGGCGCACAGAGGAAGGACTGCAACACGTTAGAGGAAATTCACATTCAGCTGGCAAAGGCCCACGGTTGGTTGCGTAACATATCTCAAGTGAGCTGTTCCCTTAGCTTTGCAATGCAGAACCAGCGGGGATTCAGGGAAAACATTCACTCGATATATTTCTACGCAAACTCGCCACTGGCGTCCAAATAGTTGAAAAATCTACGGAAGCAATGAAGTCAGCATTTTTCATGGAAATATATTTGTGTAAATTAAGAAACTTAATTCGGAAATTAACGAACAAATTAGGAAGATAATTTTAGAAAGACAAAAGTTGCACGCATCTCTTTCTCCAATGTTGAAAAATCTTCCAAAAAACGGTGAATCAGAATTTGTTTGACATTTAGGGGCAGCTTTCTCACCAGCTGTTGCCCTCTGCTGCAGTGGCCACTGCCTGTGAGGCGAGAAGCCTGAACGTCCCGTGTTCACGCTCAGAGACGAGCGTCTCATTGGGCCCTCAGCAGACTCACGATGTGGAGCGACGCTCTCGAGCTCTGCCCTGCGTGCTCCCCCAGTGGGCCCCATCTTTACACCGGCTGTTGTGCGGCCTGTGGCCACATCGTGCCGAGCGGCTTCCACGTTGCACCCCCTCTGCTTCCTGCGAATGGCGATGTCTTGCTTGCGAACAACACGAAGCTGCTCAAACCGTACATTGGGGGAGGGGAGGGGCAGTCGGCTATAGAATAACAACGGCACTATTTTAATATATTCGCAACAAAGACATTCGAAGAGATAGTAGTCATTCAATGCCTATTGTAGTCACTCCTACTGGACGTCAGTGACCTACCGGACGTCTGTGAAAAAGAGCTTCACAGCTCATCGGATTCCTCCTGCTGTCTAAATAAAGATTCAGATTCAATGACAACTTCCTCTTGGAGATTTCCTTGAAATGCAAAGGCAGTGAACTCCATTGATTGAATAACAAACAAAACCCCCACAAGGGATGCTTGATAGGCGGTGTGGCATGGAGGACCCTTTGGAAGCTTGCGTCTGCCGCGGTGTCCACGAGAATCCCACAACAGCCCCGGCACAGCGTCTCTGCGAGAGCGCAGCCTGCGACGTGAACGCGACAGCGCACGCATCCAGCACGCATCCAGCACGCATTCAGCACGCATCCAGCACGCATCCAGCACGCATCCAGCCCGCATCCAGCACGCATCCAGCACGCATCCAGCTCGCATCCAGCGCTCGCATCCAGCTCGCATCCATCGCTCGCATCCAGCTCGCATCCAGCACGCATCCAGCCCGCATCCAGCACGCATCCAGCACGCATCCAGCACGCATCCAGCCCGCATCCAGCAGGCATCCAGCACGCATCCAGCCCACATCCAGCACGCATCCAGCACGCATCCAGCTCGCATCCAGCGCTCGCATCCAGCTCGCATCCAGCGCTCGCATCCAGCCGGACGGCAGGAGGGTGGCCCGCTCGCCTCGTCCCCGACACGAGGATTTCGGATAACCGTTGAAAGTTTTTTTGGGAATGTCCCCGACTCGTGGCGTGACTTGTGTTGCCCTGTGTCAGGTGCGCGTTGCCTATGGCAGATGCGTCATTGCACGGGGGGGACTGTAGTCAAGGCCCAATGTCTCAATGAGTTATTTTCCTCCAAGCTAAGCTGGCTTGGAGTCGGGTTTGTCGGCGTAGAGCACTACCACTACAGCACAAGGTATGCCTAGCCAGAATAATCCTTTATTATTATTATTGTACCATTATATTCCTCATGGGACCTCCTTTGCCAGTACCAACATATACTAATAGGGTTTTTCCCATTTTTTCTGGCAACAAAAAGGTGTCAGTTTTGTTGCCAGAAAAAAGGGGAAAACCCCTATTAGTACATTATATTTCTATCGGTGTCTAAGTATAACGAGGACAAATTACGGTGAGATGGATGCGGCAGGTTAAAATCATTCCTGGGACGTGTTCCGGTTTGTTCTGACTGAAATAAGTAATGAATGCTGATAGGACACAGAAGGTCAAAACCGGTCCAGATTGCTTGCTTATACAGATTCTGCTGCGTAATATTATTCGTCCGCAAAGACATTCGACCGATCGACTAAAATATATTTATATTCATGAGGAGACAGATTTGAATCTTGCTCTATATGTGTTGCTTCATGTATATAGGTTCGGTAAAGCAACAAACCTGATGCATATATTTTTAAAAAGTGCAGCCTCTTTGCCTCGGCACTTGATGTAGAAATATGTGTAGATGTGGTGAGTGAAGGCGCCTACAGAGGACTGGGCCCTTCAGATGTGGCAGAGCACGGCTTGGGAAGTTGTGGCGGTAGTTTTGTGCAGACTGCAGCTTGTGTACAAAGTTCAATCGTAATATTCCACGTGAGAAACTTTAGTTTGGGTTTTTTTTCCATACAATTCACAGCAAAGCAAGGTCAGGTTTTGGGTCTAGGGCATTCATCACTGACGCATCTCTGGAATATGTTGTAGGAAACAGTGAGTTCTGAACCATGACACTAAACCGAGGAAGAATAAACTTCTGAGCGCATCATACATGTTTATATAAATACTAGCCTTTTTTTGCCCGTCCAAGGACGGGTGTATTGCAGTGAATCTGAGACTTGCAAGCGAAAATCAGACTGCGACGTGATATTCATTGCATCAATCCGTGTGCAGTTTGTAAGGGCGCGGTGACACAGACCTGTTTCATTTTAAGGTTATAATCCCTTGTTCATCACGACGTCCTTTTTACTTCGATGTCTCAACAGCGTGACGGAGACCACGTGACGTGAGGGTTCTGCCCTTATAGTGAGGGTTGTGAGTTGAGGAGGCGCCTAGCCCCCCCATGTGGAGTGACGTCACCTGCTAATTAATATTATTGGGAGGGTGTCCATTTTGAAGACGTCACCTCTTCATAATTATTAATGTGGGGGGCTGTTCGATGTGGAGTGACGTCACCTGTTCATGAGTATTAATGAGGGAGGGCTGGCCGACGTAGAGTGATGTCATGCACGGGACACACAGACATTATTGATAATAGTAAATGTATTATTTCTATTTGTCAAAAAATAATAATAAAATAACAGCAACCTAACTCATACAACAGAGGTTTGTTTTACGTGATACTGCTTTGGCAGTGGTGCGCAAGCATAAAAAAATAAAAATAAACACATTCGTTAAATAACATTTCCCGAAAATAAAATATATAGAATAGGAGAAATTGTGGGAAATGGCCCTTCTTCATAGCAGACAGCTCGGAAATATACAATAAATACGTGAAACGCACACCATGTGGACACAGCCAGCAACATGAAATGTAAAATTAGCAGGATGTCCATGAATTTAGTTTCAGGCATTGATAATATCACAAAATCCCCCCAGAGCCCCGGACGCCATGGAGTGTGAGAGGGAAACCGAGGCAAGAGATTGCAAGAGAGCGATCGAGTGAAATGTGAATATGGCCAGAGCAGGCGAGGGTGTGCACAGGGAAAGGTGGACGCCTTTCTAATGAATGATCAACGACAGGCCTTTGCCAGTCGACACACCGGTGAGAGACAGACGCAGGCCTCTCTGCTCCGCAGGAGCGGGCCGCTGGGAGTGCCCCGCTGAGTGGACGGTGCTCCGGAGCTTTGTCAGTCAAGAAGGAGCAGCAGGCAATCCACGAACAAACATTACTTCTATTTTGATTTAAAGCTGCTTTCGTGACTGCAGGGATTCATATTCTTGGTTCTTTCGGTGAAGTCACGTAGAAGGGAAATAATAACATAATATTAATATAAAACTATAAATATAAAACACTCTTTTTTCAAAATTTATTTCTGTGGATTTCACACCTGATGATGATTGCTTGTGTTGCAGTCGAAACGTCGTGAGCATTTTTATTTTTTATATGAATATTATTTTATTACTTCCCTTCTACGTGACTTTACCGAAAGAACCAAGAATATGAACATCACTTCGTTAATGAAACTCCTCGGCTTTATTGTAGGCAAGGTGTGTCATTACGGCATCTTGGGGACTGCGATGGCTCAGCCATGCGGTCTGATGCGTCAATGCAGTGACATCACTGCAAGGATATGACTGAGTGCCCTGCAGGAATGTAGAGTCTGTCAGAGAGCTGTGACTCGGCCTCGGTGTGCATCCACAAGTGAATAGCTATGTATGTTTCGATGTAAAGCTTTCGTGACTGCAGGGATCCATCTTCTTGGTTCTTTCGGTAAAGTCACGTAGAAGGGACACTACCAAGCTAGGAGCTTATATATATAAGCTCCTAGCTTGGTAGTGTATCATTCTTCACCTGAAGACGGCTGCTTGCGTTGTAGCCGAAACGTCGTGAGAATTATTTTATTTTATTATGTTTTATTTTTATTATTTTATTACTTCCCTTCTACGTGACTTTACCGAAAGAACCAAGAAGAATAGCTATGTAGTTTAGGAATGAACCTTACTTTAATGAGGGATATTGCAAAACCCGAAATCCATAAATGGCCTTTGCAAAATACACGCAATAAATGATGGTTATTTGAATGCCATGCCCCGTCTCTTCAAATACAAGACAAACATTACCGAGTGCACAAAAGTAATAAAAGAGCAATCGCATAAAGAATGTCAGATAACCTTCAATGGTCTTACCTCAACATCTGCAAGAAAATTAAGAAAAATAAGAAAAAACAAGAGAGGCCACTGCCGATTGAACCGACACGTGTACTGCCAAGGGGTTCACGAGACACATTCCAGAAATTAGCGCCCTCATTCACAAGTCAATATGCTCAGCCTCCAGAACGGGCGGCGTGGACTGCCGGGCGAGCAGCCTGGTCCGTGTGAATGTGGCGACTCACTCGTTGCCTTGCTGGCGGGAGGAGGATGTGTCCTCCTGTGTCACAGAGGCATCGTCTGTCGTGGATGCAATTTCAGGGACCGCGCGTCAGTTGTCAGTCGCGCATGAGCACAAGCTCAACATCATTGACGTGTTATGTTAACGCCGTCTTATGAGATGTTAACTTAGTTGTGAACGTGTTGGGCAATGGCCATCCGTGGCACTAAAGAAGGCCCAATGTCTCAAATACGGCTCCCCAGCAAATCAAGGCGACAGTACAAACTTGCTATCCTGTGGCACGTGGCTCTCTTTCAAGGCCTTCCCGCCGATGATGACTTTTCACGGCGTAGCCTCACGCTGTTCGTCCTCCCGAAGGGAATGCCCTCGGAAAAGCGATGGACGATCATGCTTTGGCCGCGGTGGAGGGAGCGAGGGAGGGGATGGGGTGATGGCTTTTAGCGCATCACCGCAAAGCACAACGAGTCCCACGTGGGGCGCTGTCGACGGAACAGCGACGTCATTGTCCAAGCACTGACTTTTTACGACTCGTTCATTTAGTGCGAATGGGTTACATTTAAAAAATAAGTCATCTGAAGTTTACAAGGGTTTAACGGTTTTGATAGTCAATGTCATTGAACAGCAATGCCAGCTGATTTTGATCAGATATTTGCTTGTTTTGCATGCAATGTTTTGTTTGTAAGGGGTGGTAGATTATTATTTTTCTTGTTAATGGGCATCCAGTGCACTCCTGGAAGCATCTGTCCAACTGGTGTCACAACTCGGGAAATCAGGGAAATGCCGTTCTTTTCACCAACTCCCAGTTGTCCACCATCACGTGAGGCTGGGTCAACCCTAGGTGTAGATACCATAAAGGGGTTGTTAACCCATCGCTCTCCGATGTGTTCTGGTTGTGCCGCACGTTGCTTTCGGCATGATGTCCGATATCAGGCATCAATGCCACGTGGCTGGCACGAAACGTCGGACGTCGTGCCGGCAACACGCGGAGAGCTGCACAGCGCTACCGCGAAAACCTCCGCAGTGGTTAAATCATCGTTGCTACATCGATTCGCAATGGTTCATGTGTCCATATCGCTCCTACCACGGGCGCTGTTCCCGTGAACTTCACTCGTTAATTGCTCCACCCCACTCTGAGCACTCCATCTACAGCGCCGCCTTAGTCCCGCCGTGCTCAACCACCGCACCTCAGGTCACATTTCCTAACGCTCTCCCATCGCCTCTTTTACAAATTTCTCTACAACAACCTCGCTCAATTCGAGAAATGGGTTACACTCTGATCTCTTACAACGTTTAAAATGCCGTTGGTTTCTGGCCGCTTCACGTGTTGGGCTTGTGGGCCTCTGCTCAGCGACTGGATTGTTTTTTTGTTTAAACTGCCAATGTGCATCATGTCCCACGTTATTCTGAAGTTCATGACAATGTGACTGGCGGTCGGAGTAATTCATTTGTCACTAGTGCCTCACTGTGAAATGCAGTTCCTTAATATTTTAATGAAACATTTTGGCTGCCACCTCTCACCTCTCTTTCGTTCGTCCTCCTACAAATGCCGTTTGAAAATCAGGAGGTAAAGAGGGGGGATCAAGGCACGAGGGGCGAGGGGCGAGGGGTGGCGGTGGCGGTGGTCACAACGCGCGTGTGGAGTCACTGCCAACTGACAATTGGCCCACGTAGACACGCCGGCGAAAAGATTGCGCGGGGAGATGCGTTTTTTTGCTGTTCGCAATTAAGTGGCTTCCAGCGCGGCTTGCAGGAGAATAACAAGGAGTGCTGTTAACAGTGGGGCATCAGCTCACTTGCGGGGCATCACAAATCCTCCGTGCCACCGCTGCGAGCACACCGGCGGCAGCGGCAATGAAGCAGTCGCTTTGAAGTTCCTGTGCTGGCCTCCTTCTGCGGCATCGGAGGTTTTCTGGCCACTGCCCACGTGACCTGCCGTGCGGTCGTCTGCAGGCTCACGGCGCCGCCGGCTGCCTGTGCGCTGTGAAATGTGAGCGTGTCCTCGGTGAGCGTTCGGCAACGTTCGACTCGAGCCACAATGTGCGCTCGGTCAAAGCGTCGGGGGTGGAACTCTTTTCTGTTCGTGGCCCTGACCCAGTGATGGGGCTTTAGCACTCCTGCGGCATAGCACAGCTGTTGTTGATTCGTGTTTTAACGTTCGTGGGAACGTGTTTTAGTATCGGTGAAGGGACGATCGGTCGAGTCGACGCTTGACCGCCACTTCAACTTGCCCTGCCGCAGCACCACGCGAGCATTCGCCTTCATTTGTGAACATTCCGAACTTACGCCCAAGTGTGGTGTCTCCCGTCACGTATTTTAATGCTTCCTGTCAATCATAAACGAGTCTCAAACAATGTCATATTGAAGTTGAACCACCCAACGTCTTTCGTAATGCGCACTAATTTGATAGTGGAGTGGTGGCCCAATGTCTAGCATACTGCACTGTTAACCCGGTGATTAGAGTTTTATTCCCAACCTACCTCTAACCGGCCGTGTGACCCACGCTGACAGTGCAGTGTGGTCAGTAACCCCCATGTAGCGGTACGCATGGTGGGTCGCCCATCTCGTGAGCACTCAACCCTAGTGAGCTTCCAAAATCTTATGAGATGGGGGGGGCTCCCGTGACCATCGACAACGGACTTCGAGGACGTTGCAGAGTATCTCCAGCACCGCTGCCACTGCGTACGTGGGAAGGCAACACTGGGGCCTCGCTCTCGCACAACTTTCGGTTCTCGACTTACAGGTGGAGTGGGCAGACACCCGATGTGCACGTGCGCCACTGACGCTTCGACGCTTTGGCCAACGCCGCAGGTCGGGAAGTGGGAGGGCGACGCGCTCACGCTCAAGTACTCCATCTGGCCGCGCTACGGCACGCGGCCGCCCCCCGGCGTGGAGGACCGCCACCTGAGCGTCGTGACGCTCGAGGAGAGGCCCTTCGTCATCGTGGAGGACGTGGACCCCATGGCCGGAACGTGTCTGCGCAACACCGTGCCCTGTCGCCAGCAGATCATCACCCTGGGGTAAGGAGGAAGCTCTGTGCGCCGCTCGCCGTGGGTCTCCGCGGTCGCCGCGGGCACGGGTTGCGCCGTGCGGTGTTCGGCACGGTGTCCGACGGTTTGCTCCACGTGCCGGAAGCTTCTTTCAGGAACATGGTGCGTGGAACAAAATACGCAGTCCAACGCACGAACACATCGGACAACGGTACAAATATTTTGTGTTCAGCCAGCGGCAATACCGTGGCTACGGTTTGATGAGGTCGCATACCCCTGCCTTGGGTTTACCGGTCTCGGCTAATGCATGCAGGTTGATTAATACATAGAGGAGGTGAAATGCAGAGGCACTTTGTAGGAAAATACGAGCGCTGGGCTCCGACTAGATCAGCTGATCACTTCAGTCAAAATGTCCTTGCTGTGGTTGTCACACCTGATGATGATTGCTTGTGTTGCAATCGAAACGTCGTGATTTATTTATTTCTATTTTTATTTTTATTTTTTCACCTACGTGACTTTACCGAAAGAACCAAAGAGTATAGATCAGCTGTCCGAGGAGCTACAGGGACTGCGGTGCACCCGTGTTCTGTTAGAGAAAGCGCAGTGACTCCACGTTCACTCCACGCGTAGCCCGAGACCGGCACACCCAGCAGGGTGACGTTCCGAGCCTCCTCAACGTGAGCAGTCACGAGGCAGCGCATACACTCACATCCTCGTTGGTGCACAGCGGTGGCACGATGGCTTTGCACACTGCGCTATGAACCTGGCAGGCTGAGTTGGACTCCCGTTGGCGAGTGATATATGAGCAAGTGGAGTAAAAACGAAATCCCGGTGACTGGCATGTCCGTGGGGAGACTCACATCCAGCAGTGGATTGACAAAGGGCTGTAAATGGGCGAGATGCAGTATTGGTGGAGCGTTGCTCGCGAGAGCGATAGTAACTGCAGTGCTGTCCTGCGATGTGTGTCACACTCTGTTATTGAGATTGCCCTTGGCATACAGCTCCGCTGTGTAAGCAGAGAGCGATGCATTGATTCAGCGATTACGGTTGATTGCTTACACTCACGATGCAGACATTAAATCGCAAGCGTGAAAATAGTTTAGTTTGTATTTGTACGTGTTGTATGAAAGGGGCAGCGAGCGGTAGTGGATGTGGTGAGCACATTGTACCGTCGACCCAGCATTCTGAGTTTGATTTCCGGCCATAGCTTACAAGCGTTGTATATAATCGGGCTATGTAAAAATGCTCTTCATGCATCCCAAAAATATTGAGTCAATTAACAGCTCCCAATTTGTGACAATTCCTTAATAAAGTGCGAGGTGAGGAGCGAATCGAACGAGTGCATTCCGCAGTGCAATTTTCCACGAGCGCTGAGCTCAGTGATATCAGGGCCTCCTGCTGAAGGGCGTGCCCTGCAGACAACTAATGAGCCACTCATTTTCCAGGCGGAACATTTTTTTAAACCCCCGTCGACATCGCAACGCGCGCATACCGCCACCTGCACCACCTCCCACGGTCCACTCTCCCCCGCCCGGCGTCGCTAGCCGTGACCGCCACGGCGACCAGGCGGGCGGTACGGGGTGCCGTGGGAAGGACGAGTCATCCACTGAATTATCACCCACGTGGGACCCACGTGGGGCTCTGGTGGACGGTGAGCAGCAGCAGCAGCTGGATTGGGTGCGGGCGGCGGACAGATGCTGCTCGATTCGCGTTCATCAACAAGCATAACGCCCGCCTCATCCGGGTTTTGAACAAGCCGCAACCGCCATCCCACTGCCGCGCCGATTAATTCCGTGGCTAATTGCCCGCTATCTGCGCAGCGTGACGCTGTTGGGCATCTGTCGGCCCCGTGTGAACAGCGGTGCGGAGAACGCCCGGCCGGGCAGAAGGTGGCATGGCCTGGGACGCTCTCCGACGTTCCATGCCGGAACCGCCGAGCAGCACAAACAAAGCGGCGATCGCAGACGCCGCGGTGTCCGCGGCACATCTGCGACGCCGCTGCGGGAAGCTAATAAGCGTGACCGCAGACGGTGTGCGGCAGCATGGCACTGGTTTTACCTTGACGATTCTTCTTTGTTTTGCCGTACAAGCAACTTTCATATTCCTACCCCGGTGAAGGACTCGTATCACAATGACGTCCGACGCGCACTGATCTGCAATAGGCTCCCCGCCGTGGGCTCATTTCAGGCTCAGTAAACCTAGGGGAGTTTCTAATCGGCTACTTGGATTAAGTGAAATGAACGTGGGGGCGGGCAGCTGACTGTGTGGTCATTGTATGGCGAGTACACCGAGCGCAGGCCCCGCAGGGCAGAGGTCACCGGGGACATCGATTTCTCGGTGGCGGCAGTTGAAAATACGGCAGGCACCTCGATGATTTCCCTTCGCCACTGTCCACCCAGGAGTATCAATGGGTACGCCAGAGTTAGTCAATCACAAGTCGTGTGTGGCAGAGTTAAGTGCGTTGTGTATTTCCACCCCTTCCAAGACGTCTGGCCAGCAATGGAAGAGTAGACCAAATACCCTCTCTCGATCTCCCTCTGTTGGAGCGGAGGTCAACTGGAGACCGCTGGCGAACGCCGGGGAGTTGTGTCGAGGTCCCTGACCACCGCAGCCTCGTCGAGGGCCTCGCCGCTGCTGCTCCACCTCGTCCTGTCAAGTTCACTCTGGCGGTGGCTCCACCGACCGCTTCAGAAGTCCATTGCTGCCGCCGCTGCGCTCGCCTCTCCCACGAGTGGGGCACTGAAGTTGGCGCACGGGGCAGGGCCTGCAGCCGCCCCGGCCACACGAAGGAGGACGTCACCAACAAGCGCCCTCTTCTTCTCCGCCTGCTCCCCAGGGGACTGGACAGCGTTAGAAGACGAGTCAATAAGACAGGTGTTAAGATCTCCAAAGATCTTTTCATCACCTTGATACTGCAAAAAGAGTCCCATGGATGGACAGTATTAGTCGCGCTACTCCCGAAGCTATCACATGGCTCACAAACTTAAACCTGGATGCATAATTTACAGCTACTTCCATACGATAGAAGAAGAAATCCATGATTCAATAGATGTATTCTAAGCATCGGAATCTAGTTTAACCTATAAATCCATGCATCATTACATGCCTACAACACGTGATTAAATCGTGGCTTCCTACCCTCGCAGCCCATCAGTATTCTGCGTAGCCATGTCACTGGACACATATTTGGTCGACCATTATGCACACAACCTGTTCTTTACATGCTGGACTATCACCTGATGTAAAATTCCATTACAGGATAGAATGCATTATGGAATGTGGAAATTCTCCCAATGTTTATTTTAGAAGGGAGATTAAATTGATTTGTCTTGAATGCTAAACAAAAAATCCTCAAGCGCATCATCATCAGCCAATCCACTGCTGGATGAAGGCCTCCCGCAACGCTACGCCATTTCTCGCGATGCCGCGATGCAACAGTCGATCTCTCTTCTGCACACGAGCCGATTTCATCGCTGCCCTCTTCACGATGGACGTACGTCCCTTGCCACACGCCATGAGTCTCCACCACCGGCCGTCATTCCTTCCAGCAACGGCAGCCTTCCCGTGCCCACTTTACCTAATCGTCAATACGACGTCTATAGCTTGCATTTGTTCTACAATCCACGGTGTCTCTCTTGCTTCCCGTCAATGCAGTTCCAAGCGTGCACATCTCCGCGCTTCTCTGTTGCACTCTCTGTCGACTAGTATAGCTTTTTATTTGCCACTGACCCTGTTTCTGTTGCATGCGTTGTTGACTTTCCATTTTGATCTACTTCACTTTTCATCCAAAAGCACTCCAGCCCCACTCTTTCATCCGCCTCTTTATTTCCATATTCTCATCCCAGTCCGCCTTCAAATAACTCGACTCGGTATACTCCTGCTGCTGTTGTTGTTGTTGCTGTCAGCCAGTAACTTCCCACTGCTGTCCAAGTCTCCCCCATGCTCTAGAAACATCCCCTCATTAATTGCCCATGGCTGCTCAAAATTCCGCAGAACCACCACGGCGAGCCGAAATGACGGCGAGGGGAGGGGAATGCCGCGGTTTGACGAGGCAATATGCAGATCCATAGTCGCATGCGGCCCTTCAAGGACTGACTCGTGACGTTATTCATCAAGCACCACCATCTCGCATGCACCACACAGCGTATTGTGGCTCTGGAAATATGACGTTTTATTTTACAGATTTAGAAAAAAATGTCTCTTTTTGTTATTTTGGCTGCCAACTCCTGGACGAGCTGAAATGTCTGAATAGCCACAATTTAATAAATATATAAACAATACAAGACACGTGTGTATTGTGGAGAAAAGTGACACCTTGAGACGTCTCCTCGCGTTAGCCCTGGCCTCAGAACTGTAGCGTGCTTCAATTTGAGAAAGCGCTTGCAACTCCATCGGGCGTTTCCCACTGCAGAGGCATCTTGCTGTGATATTTCCATGACTGCACACACGTGTGCTATACAGTCTGTGGACGTATATATGTAATGTACACGTGTGAGTGTGCAGACCAGCAAGATGTGTCTTCATTTTCTTTCTTTTTTGCCAAGTGCGGATTGCTGCGGTGTGGCCGGATAGGCCAGGCTTTATTGTATTGTATTGTCTGGCCAGATAGGCCAGGAAAGGCCAGGTTTTATTGTTATGCATTGTCTGACAGGATAGGCCAGGCTTTATTGTATTGTCTAGCCGGACAGGCCAGGATAGGCCAGGAAAGGCCAGGTTTTATTGTGATGTATTTTCTGACAGGATAGGCCAGGTTTTAATGTCTAGTACTGTACTCTACGAGTTATTCCTCCTAACCCCCCACAGCCCCCACAAACTAAACTTTGTATATTACCAGGTGAGGCCCACTGAGCTACATAGCTCTTTTTTTCAGAAGTGACCTGGCCATGGATTATAATAGCTCAACGAAGTGGCTTATCGTCACGTGGAAATGTATAGCAGCCAAATATCCTAAACGCGTGACGTTGATTCTAAATGTGGAGGGGAAAACCGGAGGACCCCAAGACAAATCCACGCGACCACGGGGAGAAAGA